TTTCAGCATCTCTCTCCCAAGCAGAAATCCCCCAGGATTTGTATATACAATTTTTCTATATATACACTGTAGACAGATGTTTAAGAAAAAACACATCTGGTTTGATTCAGTGGCCTATCACAGATCGTTATAAGTACTCCATTGAGCTACTTCCATAATCCAATGTATGCTCTCTAAGCAGTCTATAACTGTGGATTTTAACAAGCAGTCTACAACTATGGATTTTAACATTCTGATGACCCCAGTAGGTTTCAATAATATAAATTTTACCAGATTTCTTCTCATCAATTAAATTTTTCATTTCCTCCTGCTTGTTACCAGACTGCAAACAGTTGTATATAAAGCAATTGAGAAATGTTCTCTTCACAATCTGAGTAAGGTTGTTAGTCATGTTAGTCTGAAGCAGAAGACAGGGCAGCGTGCCACCTTTGAGTCTGTGGCCTACAAAAGCTTATAAGCCAGTTTGAGCCAGTTAGCTTCTAGGGTGCTGCCTTGCCCTGCCTTCTGCTTCACTATCTTTGTAACATCAGTTCAATTTATTTGTGACATAAGGAGCCTGAACTTCACTGGCTTTGGTATCATCTTTCCTTTGTATTGTTCACTTAATATCAACCTGGCTGCTACAAGCTAATCTCCAGCTAAGACTGACCTATGATGCAGACTGTCCTGTTCATAGAACACCTCTCCCACTTAGCTGCCTTCTGATGTTCCACAAAATTAAAAATATTTAGTTTTGCTCCAGTCACTGAGCCAACAGCTTATCTTTAGGTTTTTTTTTGTTTCTTTTCCCTCAGGCATGGTAGTGGAAGAGTCCCTGAGAAGATCACTTGGAAATTCATTGCTGTTCCTAGCTCTCCAAAATAGTTTATAGCTGTGTAGCTATAGATGAGGCCATGTCATCACTTCCAACATGGGATGATATTATATATCAGTCATTAGTGATTTCATAGTCCCAGTCAATCTTGAAATTAAGTCTTGCATTCTCCATATTGCTAAATCTTCTCTTTGTGAGGTCTGTGACAATAAGTTCTGAGTCTGGTTGCCCAAGAAGCCATTATTTTCTCCATAGCTATTGTAGTATTTAAACTTATGCTTCTAAATTATGCATCTTTCTCTACCATGATTTACTAGCCTGCACTTCATACACCAGAAAGCAGTTGTATCTACCAGCAGAAAGGAAAAACACAGGTCAAGCAGGTGTCTTTATTATCCATCTCTACTACTTCCAGTAGGAAAAAACTACATACCATATCCTGTAAACTCACTTCAAAACTCTCATTTGCCATTCCTGCCAGATTCTCAAGGATTTAGTAAATGACTTAAATATAAAGTCTTACTGCTTAGGTCTACTCTACTGCTGACAGGGAGAGATTAACCATTTTAATTTCAAACAATGGGTTTGATCCAAATCCAAATATCCTTGTGTCTTGACAGTGACACAAACAGATCAACTTCTCTTAGCTGGGATATTCAGGACCCAAAACCCCAGTCTAGCATTCCTCATGAAGACAAAATGAACAAGAACATATCAATGAACACATACTTCCCTCTCTACTAATTTATTTTCCTTCCATGCACAGGATCCATGGCAATTCCTTCCAAAATCATGCTATCTGCAACTCACAGGATCGTGGGATCATGTTCTCACTGTCATGGTATCAGGATAACAAGAAGAAAGTTGAAAGCTGCTTAGCTTGAATTCAGAGGGTAATGGAGGGAGAATGTGACACAAGACGGCAAGAACTAGTGTGGAGGGTTTGGGACAGGGGCTAAGTAGAACAGGAGTGTAGGATTTTTAAATGTCAACGTTTCTCTGCTGCTGCTCAGATACCCATTTTACCACTGGGACTCATGGCTACCTCTTATTTGTCCTACCCTTTGAGCAGTGGTTCTCAATTTTTTTTAGACAAAAAACACGCCTGCCTAACTTTTCTGAGTATAGTGGCTCTGCAATTCAAAAGTGTAATTATTACAGTGCATTAAAGTAATGGTGTGCACGTGCACATGCACACATGTACAAACACATACACACTTATAGCAAACTGGTCCATTAAATCAGCTGTACATGTAGCCACATAGAGAAATAGAACATGATGCCTTGACATGCGAGTGCAGAGGGCAGGGCATCTCCTTTGTTCAGTGAGCCCTAAGTCTCATGGATTGGACCCTGGGGGTCCCACAGGGATTCACAAGGTGGAGAGATGCCAAGGCAGGCTTCTTTGTTTCCCAGGGCAAAAATGACACCTGGTCCTTATCTGCTAGGCAACTGATGGCACAGCTCACCCAGCACCCTGGGAGAAGGTCAGGGCCTAATCCCCAGCTGGGGGATTTGGTACTGGAGCCTGAAGCATTGCTGCTTTACCCTGTCTGAGCCCAGCAGGAGTAGAAGAAGCATTTACTACAATGTGTGTGGTCTGACTTGCTAGAGGTGCAACTAGTAAGGGTTGGGCCCTGAGCCAGCACTTCCCAAATATGATGGGCACTCTCCTGCTTCCCCTTCTGCCTGCTGTGATGTAGCTCACCCTCCCACCCGCCTTGCCCTTCTCTACCCTGCTCCAGGAATTTCTCTGCACCACCTCCCCATAGCATCCAAATGCCTGCTGTCTCCCAAACACTCCCAATCTGTACTGAGGGCTGCTTTCGCACTCCCTACTGCAGCCTTGTCACTTACCCTGCTGCCGATTCACTTGTGAGCTGCACGAGCATGCAGGAGGAACCCAGAGTGGGTGGGCAACCACAGAAGTGCCCGCTGTGCTTGGCAAATGCTGGCCCAGAGCACAAATCAGCAGGCAGAGGAGACCTCAGGTCCTTTTCTAAAGTCAGTGCCTGGGGCTCGTGTCCCCCTTAGCTGCCCCCTCCTGCCACAGCTGCTTCCTGGTCTGGTCCTGCATGGCATCTCACAGAAACAGGCACAAGGTTGTTCTACCCTGAAGTGGCAGCCATGCGCCATCCTGATCGAGAACCACTGCCCTAGCAAGCTGGCCTCCATAATCTACTCTTGCGTCCATTTATTGTTAGCTCACACAGCAGACATGTATTTTGTAGACCAAAAGTTCCTAACCACACTGATGATCCTAGACAGAGGTCAATATGATTCTTCAGAATGGAATTCCCAAGTTTTTTAGTTTACTTCTTAAAATTCCTAAGGAATTGCCTAGGTTAAAAGACCACTGAATCTGCAAAGTTGAATGCTCCAAATTTAGGGAATTCCAGAATTAAAGTGTTCTTTGCCATCTTACTTGGCCATGAGTTTAATTATGATACCATATTGAATTACCAAGATCAGATGCTATTTTTCCACAATACTGCTGTCTTATTGAGAGCACATAAGAAACAGCACTCACATAATGAATCGAGGTTGTATTATTTTACAAGGTGCATAGCAAGTACATCAGGAGATTGCAGGAAAGAAAAGAAAAGATGGTCTCATGGTTCAGGCAGCTGAAGTCATCTCTGGAGAATTTAAATTATCTCTGCTGCAGAGTTACTATGTAATGTTGGATAAATCAATTAATGCAAACTTTTTCATAGGTGGTCACTAACTGCATGTTTTCCATTTTGTGGGTGCCAGATTTGCTGAAATGATAAGCACTCAGTGGCAACTGATGCCAATGGAAATTGTATATTGAATATATGAATACTATTAAATGCTACATTCACTGAAAAAAAATCAGGCTCTTGGCATGTCAAGTCAGGCAACCAAACTTAGCAGACAATTCAGACATTTTGTGTCCCTTAATTCCCACCTGCAAAACAGACATGGTACCACCTTACCTGACACAGATGTTGAGAGGATGAATGAATTCACCTTTGTGAAACTCTCATATTAGTGACGAGCACCGTAGACAATTCCATGAAGAAATAAATAATGCTGTATACAGAGCATGATTTGAATGGTATGTCACAAAAGGTATGAGCCACACACCAAATTATCAGTTTAGTACAGAAAATTCAATGTGTTCACACAAGCACATTCCATCCTGTGCCTTGAGGAAGACAGAGGGTCTGTGTTAAAAAGTTTGTATGTGATCATGTAATGAATGACTACCATACTTCAGATATAGAACAGAATTAATTAAGGCTTATGGCCAGGGAATCCTGGCATATCCCAAATTTTGAGTGCCTAAATTTGTATCCTTAATGTTCTTTTAAACTTTGCTTTCATGTAATTTCTTGGAGGAAGGCTTCAGCATAAAGGAAACAGTATACACAGATCCCTTTGCACCGAGTCAAAATAGCCCAAACAGTTAAAATTTGGCAGCATCACATAAGCAACTAAAAAAGGATCTTCTAACAAAGAGTGCTAAAAAACGTTAATAATATATGTGTTATCGGTCTATCTTACAAATCCAGTTACTTAACAAGCTAAGATTATTATTTTAGAAGCCAAATGAGTGTTCAGTGGGCTACACTTTTGCTTCTGGACATGCATCTTCAAACTTTAGGTCATGTGTAAAACAATGAGATGCATCCCATTTAACTTATGACCACTTCTTATAAGTAGCATGGAGTGAGGAGCTGTTTACCATCTTTGCTTAGAAGCAGCACAAGACTGAATAGCAGAACTAGTGTTAGTCATGACTGAGCTGTGCAATGACCCTAGCTGGAAGACACTTGGCACACATTTGTTCGGTGCTTGGCAATGCCATCAGCCCCTTGAATGAGCATCAAGTTCTCTCAAAATCTTAACATCATGATAACTCTATTGACATACGGATATATTTTAATATTCAACCAATAAAACAAAACTATTATATCAGCCACATAATTCTATACGGATTCTTAATTAGATCCTAGATTGCCTTTAAGTGTGAGCTACAAACATTTTCTGCCCTTTTCCAGGGCTAACTATTTTTCCCTTTTGAATTTAAATCTTTTCCCTGAGTTTTTAGAAGCTTCAAAGTTTGAGTTACTTGTAGTTGGGCAAATATCAAGTTAAAAAAAAAAAAAACTGTGAAAAGACTGAGTGTTAACTGATCTAGATTTGACTGGGTACTCACTCTGTCACACAGCTCTTCAAATGTGAAGTCTGCAATGGTTCCACATGCTTTATTCAGCCTCAGCTCTCTGCCTTGCACTTTTAGAATCCTTGGTCTAGTTACTATGGGAACATGAACAAAGACTCAATCTTGTCTGGATAATTACTATAAAATTCATCTCTTACAGATAGGAAATGCATAGCTTGATGAATAATAGCACATGATTCAACACATAAATTAGACAAAATGCTGATACAATGACTGCCACTTGAGTGTGGCATCAACCCATATACAGCAATGGAACTTATTAATTGGTCAGTGGAGATTGGGCATTGTGTTCTAAATGTATTCTCTTTCAAGAGAAATTAACTTACGTACAATCATTTTGTTTCTGAGCCAGCTCATCAAACAACTTATCCATGACAGCCTCCACATCAGCTTCACTTGTGCTACAGTGAAAAGAATAATAGAATATGAAATTAATAACACTTGAAGCCAACATCAAACAGCTGCCTGAGCCTGCTTAGCTTTTTGCCCACAAAAAAAAGAACAGGATGTTATGCTCTAAATACAAACATTAGATTTAGAATACACTTAAAAGTAGAGAATATTAACTCTCAGGTAGATGATTCTGCCTTATTTGCATACACTGAAAGACTTCTGTGTTTTGAGCTGTTTCCAGTAATGAGGCAATACAGACATTGCAAATCCATTAACACTATGTGTACACAATGAGAAAAAAAGGCTTCTGGCTCTATCTGGCATGCAAAATAAGAGCAAATAGACAAGGCAAGGCAGTCAAGCATCTAAAGAAATATCCTTTGAAACCTTTAAGAGGGGACATAGCAAAATTAAATATTGAAGCCGTATTAAAAAAAAAAATCAAGTCAACTGATTATGCAGATCAAAAATTTATCAAAATTAAATCAACAGATCTGAGATGGCAACTGCTGTATATATCAATATCTTTATGAGAGTTCTTTGATGATTGTTTGGAAAAGATCATCTATAAAAAGCAGTTTCACACAAAATGCTTTTGTTAGAAACCAAATACACTTTCTACTCATCTGTGACCACTGTAAGAGTTTTGCAATTTGTCTGATTACAGAATTTAAAAAAAATTCTAGTTAGAAGTCACCATTTAAAGGCCCCAAGTTTACAACTATGATCATTTTTGTGGCCTTTTTCCCCTCACATTATTTATAAAGATGAAGGGTAAATAATATGCTCATCAGAATTTAGAAACTGACAATAGTAATTAAAAGCTATTACATACCTTCAAATTAAAATTTAGGTATAAAGTGCTTCCAACATGACACACACTGGCCGTGTCTACACAAGATGCTTTACTTCACAGTAGACTAATCTATTGTATACTAAAGCATCACCGTTTACATGTGCGGGCACTAACTGTGCTGTAAATTAATTTACTGCACAGTAAAGCCAAATAGCATTAATTGCATGTGTAGACATACACACTAAATATAGTTCTGATGTGAAAGGTACATTTTGTAAAGGCATAGATATGCTGATGTTTCACTGATAATAAAGGCCTTCTCTAATTGAGAAATTATAATCAGTAATGTAATATGATTATTTTCTTAAGCACATTAACTACACATCATTGGAATCAATTTGCAAGTACATTTGAGCTTAAGTTTAAAAATACAAAAAAAAAATCTTGTAAACTTACAAGAGAAAAGCCTCAAGTATTTCTGAGAAAAAAGATTACATATACCATGAAGTCATAAAGGAGAATCAGGAGTGACAACTTCCTCAAGCACCCTTTCAAAGAGTAACACTTAAAAGTGCTGCTGAATGGAAGCTATTTTAGAGTAAATTTCTGAACGTTTTATTTAAAAGTAGAATCTGTTTATAATAATATTTCAGTGGTGCATTACTACAAGGAAATGAGAATAGAAATGAACTAGCTCAAACCAGGAAAAAGATAAGCATAAGTGAAACATCTATGCTACTGTTCAATGGTAACAATGAGTATGAAGTGCATGAAAACTGCTTTTGGATATATATTTGTGCAGAGTTCCTGAGAATATTTCTTCTGAAAATGGAGCCGTTGGAGTGAAACCAAGGAAGTTTGCCTTGGACAGGACTCTTGTAACACAGATGACAAGCTAACCATTTGAAGATGAATGGAAAATAGTTTTAACAAATATTTATTTGCATATTTAAAATCAGAACAGACTCTATAAATTCTGGGGGAAGATAACGATTATGTTTTTAAAAATAATTCCAAGTCAGTGGCAGCCAACCTTTTTAACATGCATGCTACAAATTAAGCCCTGCACTTCCCCGAATGCCACTCTGATTAGCTACTTTCCCCTATCCAATCTGTTGCTCTGCCTGTTTCTCCCTCCCTGATCAGCTGCTCTGTTTTCTGTTCCCTGACCTCTCCTCCAACTCCCGTGTGTGACAAAGAGATGGTCACTTGTGGCATGCATGCTGGAGGTTAAACGCTCCTTTTCTAAGTGATCATTGTAGTGTCATTCCCAGTATGTTTGCATCTATTGGGTAGTCTTAAAACACAGCTAAAGTAGTCATTTTTGACGTTATCTACAGTCCTGCACTCAGGATAAACAGGGATAAGGTGTGTTTAACACTGATTAAACACAGCTTAAGCTGGTCACAGTTAACCCTACTGGAACCAATGGAAATGAAACAAAAGTCATGTTCTAGTCAATGGCATATACAATATTAATAAAGCATCTACAGAAGGCCATTAAAGAGGTTTGCAAGTTTTAATCGCACTTTCTGTTAAAATGTTTTGCTCATACAAACCTTTTATGAGGTCACATTTTTTCTAAATGCAGACATAAAAAGGAGCTGTACAAATAAAAGTTTTGCACGATGTATTATAGAATGGTAAAATGGATCCTTCTTTCCACCATCCCCTGAAAAATTTCCTCAGTTCCAAACTTCTATGGTACTAAAAAACCCAGACACTTTCCGCAAATAATCTTATGGAGAATTTTAACATGCATAATTAAAAAAATCCAAAACTTCTAGTACTCAGTAGGGTCATCATGCTACTACAAGCAATATGTTGCTTTTGTTTTACATAGGCAACCCTATTTCAGATGAAGCTTGGAAGACTACCGCCCTAACTTCCACCCTGAACCTGGGGATGTTTCCAATTTTCAGGGACACACTTACTCAATTTTTTTTTATCAAAATGAATACTGCTATGTAAGCAGGGGTGTAAGAACTGGTTAATTCTGGAGAGGGAAGTAAGCAACAAAGATATATGGTATAACTGCAAATGTTTTGCAGGCCTGACAGAAGAGTTAACACTGGCTTTGCAAGGCCAGAGGTCCTCATACACAATTTTAAAAATGATATGGTTCCCACACAGGTGGTCAGTAGGGAAAATGAAATCTCTACCTATCTCCATTGACATATAAAGGATTTCCTTTGTTTTTGTTTGCTTTCTATTGCTTTACCTCAAGGACTCACTAAGCAACTGATCTACTCCTAGTCTCAGATAAGTGAATGGAACTACTATATTTATCTGAATACAAGATGATCCTGATTATAAGATGACCTGCCAATGATTATATTTTATATAGAGAGAAAAATTATAAATTTGTTATAATTTTCAGGTACAGAATTACTGGAGGTTTGTCTTGAATTTGTCCCTCTCCTATTGCTACAGCAAGGAAAATACAGGGAGGGGGCGGTGTTCAGTATTCCCCTTGTCCTATGCCTCCCTTCAACTTGTTCCCCCTGCAGCCCCTTCCCCCCTTGCTTACTGTCAGACACTGCTCTCCTTGAGCACATGGAAATGAGAAGCAAATTTGAAAACAATGACCTTGAAATTACACATAGCTATAGTAATTTGCATACAGTATCCATACACTTAGTTCATCCAGAATTGATGCATGTCACCTTTTTTTGAAACTGCTGCAAGTTTTATCACTATTCCATAAACACACTTTTAAGCAACACTTAAAAATTAGCACTTACCTATTGTACATCACTTGGTATTAGTCCAAAGCCAAAAGGCTTGCAATTTACCATATAGTTCATTGGGATGGGCCCCAGCAGAGTCAACAATGTTTCAAACTATGGTGATTCCAGAGCTCAGCACAGCTCAGTATGTGTGTGTACTCCAGACACTGCCCCCAAGGATCTATGTGCTAATTAGGTCCACTTATGACTGGAACCAGGTATTCTTGTCATGACTCCTGGGATGCTCCAAACATTTATACGCAGATGAGGTGCAAGGCAACCTGGTCTAGTTCCACCTCATAGAGGGTGGGACCACACTAATTATATGAGAAATAGAGCGACAGGGCAAACTATTTGAGGCCCCATTTGGTGATGTTTGTCAGGCATGTAAGGCTGGTGAAGAAATAAGAAATAGGAATAATTGGAAGTGGGAAAGAAAGGCACAGTTCAGCTGTGGGAGTGTAGAAGTCAAAACATATGTTGTGCCTCACCATGACTTGGGGGGGGGAAAAAAAGCCACCACTGAGGACTACGTGCAATGGGCACTGCCATGTATCTTATTCAGATAGGCTGCACTAATCTATCCTTGTGGTAGGCTCCCATTCATGATGAACACTACGACAAGTGAAAGAAACGGGCAAACAGGTGGGGAAGTTGGGGAGGGGACTGAGGTAGTCCTCTGCATAATTGTGATGGGTTCAAGGTGACAGTGATAGGTGCATGAGTGAGCGGGCACGTGGGAACACGGGTACACAGCGCAGTCTTGGTAATGGGACTAAGAATGATGTAACTGTAAACGTGTGATTTGGACTGTCAAGTGAACCATAGTGGTCACAAGACAGGTTGCTAAATGCACAGTTATATATCTATCTATTTATACATACAGAAATAAATATTTTTGCAAAAACTAACAACAAATACCCTACAAACCTGTGGTAGGCTCCCATCAGCATGTTTGATCAATATGGGCCATGTGTTTCATAGTCATGCTCAGTTCTGGCTGCATTTAATCAGCTCCATAGTTGGTTTCCATTACTGAGCTGCTGCTTTTGGCGGCAGTTTAATGACAGCTGTGTATTTAAAGAGGTTTCCTTGTATGCAAATGTTAGATGAGGGCTTTTGAGGAAAAACCCTTGTTTTATATTTGAGTAAATATGGTATCTTCAGTCCTTGTTGTTTATTCTGTAACAGGGCACTCACCATACATCCTAACATGTATATGCATCCTAGCACATAAACTGGTTTTTTTGAGGAGCCTGTAATTGCAGATGACATGCCTAGTCCTAGGAAGAGCACACACCAACTGCTGCAGCTTCCTGAGCCTGACGAAGGGTTTTTGAACCCGAAAGCTTGCTTAATAACTATTCTCCAACCATTTGGGTTGGTCTAATAAAAGATATCAAATTCACCCAAGGAACCTTGTCTGCCTATATCCTTAGACCAACACAGCTACAACCTAAACCCCCGCATGCCAATACCAGACACTTAGAAAAAAGGAAAAACTCTCTAGCATCTAAATTTTGTTCCACTGTAATTTTTTTTATAAAGTACATATTTAAAGAATAATTTCACTGCTGTAATTGTATTAATTAGCTTTTTCCAGATCAACATACAACTGTAATTCTAATAATAACATAATTTTAAGATGTCCGTCTCCCAAACTGGGAAACCCAAAATGCTCAAAAACTTTTGTCACTGGAAACATCCTTTGGTGCTAAATTGAAATTATACTTCAGGCAAAAAGGTATTACAACAACACCTTTTGTTTAAAACATATTTGCCTGTGCTGCTCTTGTTGTCACTGATCTAATGATAGCTTACCCTAGCAGCAATTTGGAAAAGACAAACATCTGTGATACAAAAGGGTTCCAACATTCTAACTAAAAAAGTTGTTGTTTCTATCTGATACATCCACAGTTGTAGTTATGTCTCTATTATGTATTACTTAAATATTTTATCTTCAAATATAAAATAAGTGCTAAAGTAAATTCATCATAGTAAATACTAACAGATAATATGTCATAATAAGACTTTTTTTTTAAATCCACAAATAGGAACACCAAACATTAAATGAATCCTTGTCAGAGAATTTCTATAAATACTTAATTACTTTAATACAATAAGGATGTTCTTCTATTACAAGTGAATTGTGCAATCTCTTTACAAGAGGATATTCATTACTTTGAAAGCATCTGTCACTTCAGTTCTCCAAACACCACACCTCCCCCCAAAAAATCTAATTAGTTTTAATTCAGTCACACATTATAAATGATGCTAGTGGGGATATTGAAAATTTAACTAATGAAGTTAATATCATGGCATTATGCAAGGCGTTGTGCTGTACAAAATGGACCAGAAGGCCAAAAAAAAATTGCTAATTGTATTATGTATTTTTAATCTCTTATTGACTAAGAAATTAACAGCTTTTAAGAAGAAAAAAGGGCAATACCTCACAATAAATCAACTTACAGGTAGTAAAGCTTCCCTGCTGCAGGAAGCACCCGTTTCCGGTAGTCTGTTCCGGAATCAAGTTGGACTGTGTTGCAGTATTTCTAAAGAACAAAAAGAAGAAGAGATTGATTACTTTCTGCAAAGTGTTATTGCGATTGTACTTCTAATTCTTTGCATTAAGGGGAAGGCACTTATGCTGATGGCCTAACAGCAATCCAGCAGCTAAGTAGCTCCAAGTTAAGATCATGATGTCTATTTTGCATTCACTTTAGGAAAAATTGAACAGATTGGAGATCATTCACAAATTAATAAGAAAAATAACTGAAAACTGATATAAGTTTGCTCAAAAAGAGAACATCTATTTTCCAGGCATCAAACAGAAGTGTCTGATGGGGCAAAAAATGTTCTGACAGAATGTATAAAACAGAAAATGAAAACAGTGAAAGTTTGTAGATAGAACATAGTCTATCATGCTCCAGCAATACAAAAAGTCTCCTAAAACTACTACTGTACTACTACTCTGTCAGCAAAAGAATCTTAATCTTTTTTGTGCAAGCAAGATGCTAATTCTTTGATCAAAGCAGAAATATAATCCTTTAAAATGATCAACTAATCTGAGTTTTGCTAAAAACAAAACCAAACCACAGAACAAAGATAAAGACATCCTCTTTATTCGCTGTTTTATTTCTTTACATCTGTCTTACCTTAAAAAGGAACGTACAATTTTATTCTTAAATAAACATTTACCATCTTTAAGTTTCCACATTTCAACCATAACATCCCCCTGATTAGTCACCAAACCTATTGTCACAACGAATCTAGCAAAAAGCATAGAATCAACAGTACTAGAGTAAATCCCGATCCCACTGAAGTTGACAGTGAAACTCCAAGTAACCAAAACAAGGTCAGGATATCATCTTTCGTTCTAAACCATGTGTGTGGTGGTGGCAGCAGCAGCAGTGACAAGTGCTCAAGATCCTTTTAGATGCTGAATAATCAGAAACCACAATGCTATGAACATGAAGAGAGGCCTTCAGAGAAAGATAGGGAACCTTTTAAGGTCCGATAAATAATCGTGAATCAATAAAATAATTAAAGCAATAAAGTAGATCGATCTATCTGTAAATCACTACCATTAAGACAATCAAGGATTCCAAGAATCCACATGCTACCTAACTTCATGGATTTTTCCAGATCTCCACCATCCTGCACATTAATAGATTATTAACAGTTTCAACAGGGTTCCATACTTCGTATTTCAGATTTTTTTCAAAGCTTCTCTAGAACTGTTCAATTAGCTTTGTTTGGTCAGAATTATATTATTCTCGTAACTATAATTCACAAGTATAAAGTCTAATTTATAAATTATCAGATTGAAGAAAAAAAATATATTAATTTTTTTTAGAAGAACTACTTTCACTATTAACAATACCTCTTTCTGCTGTGTGTGCTACTTCCTTGGGACTTTATTAATAAAAAAGTTCATATAGGGGACCATGATAAGAGACTATATATCATATTATAATTTTTCCTTGGTCAGTGTTGAAGATTCTGCAGATGTACATTTATCCATTGCATTTTTCAATGTAAAATTTAGAAAGTAAAAAGATGGTGAGAATATCAACATTGAAAGTACAAAATTCTAGAAAACACAATACTTAAACATGCCCAGGAAGAGAAAAGCCCTGCTATAAAATCAGTGTTGGGCTGAGCCAACATAGACCTGTAGGTCACAAGAATAAAAAATGGAATGACATATAGTAATTGGAAAAATATGCTGCATATTATCAGGCTGCTTCATGAACAAGAACATGAAGGATGTTTAAATTTCCCTCCACTTTTATCCATACCACCTGCTAGGCAAGACAAGGTAGTAGAGTCCCAACTCCCATGAGTCATTACTAATCACCTCATTATTTTAGATAATCCAAGAAGTAGATAAACCATTGTAGTATTTCCTTCAAAGTCAAGACAAACATACTGGCAAAAGGTATCAGTGCTAGAAGGTCATGTAGATATGCTCTGGATTCTTGATAACACTCTGATTGGCACCCTTTTTTTTCTTTTGTAAACAGCACGGGTATCTGAAAACACATGGGAATTCTGCTGGGGATTCTGGGAGTCTGGCCTCTCATTTCCTGCAATCTCTTCCAGCTTCTAGACAGCTTTGCAAAATCTCCCACTGCTCCAGGGAACTGGGCTAGAAGCTGCCTTGCTGCAACAAAACTGAAGTAGGGCCAAGAAGCAGAAGTGCACCTGAAACACTGTGGTTAACATGATCACTCCACACTGTGGTAATTTAGTGGTGTTGTCTCACTGGTCTGACTACCAATGATTCTGTTTCTGCAAAGTAACTGTTCTGTAGACATACCCCTCAGAGTGCTGGAAAGGAGCAGGGTCTGACTCCGTAGAACAACAAAGCTGGCAGAAGTACACATTAGCCTGTGACTATTATAAACCACTGCTTTTCTGTTGGCGAATTTACCTTTTTATAAATACTGCGAGCTGAGCTGATCCACAAGCAAGGAAACATATGAAGTTTAAAACTGTGGATGTAAATAACAATCTGAAACACCTTTGTGGCAGGTTCATACGGGGGTTTTTTTGCCTGTTTTTGTCCATTTGCTCATGGTTTATGGTGGTAATTACAGGATGATTGATACAAGGTTCACAGTCTGTCCTTAGACAAAAACATACAAACCAACTGAAATATCAAACTATGGTAAGATTTAATGAGACTGATATCCAGGGAGTAGGTTTTAGGAACCTAAAGCATGTATCTTGTGGGACCCCATCTTCTTTGCTCTGTTCATGTGCTGGATTCCACCACCATTAGATCATACTTCAGGGACCTGAATGACAGTTTGATATACAGCGTGCTTCTGCAGCATTGCATTATACCAGGCATGTGATACAGGCACAGCTGTAGGGGCCAGCTGGTGGCAGAGACATGTCTACCTCTTTTTAGAAGTCAATATATTTTTCTCTCACCAGAATGGCTAAAGCTCACACTTGATTTTCTGTCAAAGCAACAATAGTTATCTTTGTTGTCCTGTTTGAATCTCCCATGTTTTGGGTTCCATCTTCTTTCACTACAAATCAGAATTTTCATTCACAGTCTCATTTCATATTTTTTTATATCTTTAGCAGAAGATTATTAATTACTGTATATCAATACTTAGTGAATTAGATGTCAATACCGGTCTCCTTGTGCCATGGCTTGCCAGTCTAACGCTCTACTCCTCATCATATATCAATGGTTGGCAATAAGCCACAGGGTTCCAACTAAGAGAGGGAAGCTATGAAAAGGATGTCCTTATCTTTCTGTCTGGTCCTAGGAAAGATTCCCCTGAAACACAAAATTCCTGTTAAAATCTGACTGTGAGCTACTTTGGGAAGGAATCATCTTTTACTTATGTGCATAAGCAGCAGCTAGCACAATAAAGCCTAGGTTAAGGACAGGGGCCTTTGGTGCCAACCATGGAAAAAACATGCAATACAAATAAAGGCTCTGGACAATAGTATAGAAACTGATGTAGCAAAGCAGTACATGCGAGTTCTGTTGTGAGCAGTGTTATTTACACAAAACTTAGCATCTGTGCAAAACAGCAGCGAACAAACAGGACATTTAATAATGGATGGCAGCAGGAAGGCTGTTTGTACCATTACACCAGTGCTTTCCACCCCCACTAGCACAATCTCCATCCTTGGGTATGTTCAAGAGCAGGTTAAACAGATACTTGACCGAGGTGATTTAATCAGGGATGATCCTGCCTTGAGCAGGGAGCTGGATTACATGACCTCACGGAGGTCTTTTCCAGCATTACTCTCCTATGATCCTATCATCATGTTTTGTTTTCATATTTTCAAACTGGATAACAGTTTCTTTCCCAATCTCACAGGAGTGTTGTGAAGACAAAGTTAGCATTTGCAAAGAACTCTGACAAGGAAATGCTGTACATACTAGAAATAAAACTACACTAAAATGTTATCAATTCAGAAGTTAGGGCTTTTACATTTTTTTAAATTTAAAGAAGGAGAAAATTACTGAAGGGCTATACCTACGTGGTTTCAAAAAGAAAAAAAGACCACGCACATTGTTCAAAAGTACAAAAATGAAATCATGGAGTGGGTGGACTGGCAATAAATCTCTATACTTTGGTTTCCAGTAAGACTTTAAATTCATGCATTTAGGACTGGAATAAAACTTATTAAAATTTCCACATATGTTCTTAAAAACTTGGTCACAGACTTCCCTACCTTTTATCCTTCAACTTTTGTTAGCATTAAAAAGACTAATAGGAATTATACAAGTTTTAATTTCTCTCTCTTTGGGTAACTAACTTCCCCATCATTGGACTGATTAAACCCTACAGATGTGATTGCATTCTCACATTCACTAATCACCACCAAGAAATCCTAATCAGCAGCAAAAGAACTTTAACTGGAGTCCTCAGATTGTTAGTACTTAATTGACAAAGCCACAATCCAAACCACTGGTTTACATTTTTTAAATGGAGTTTTAAACTTCAGAGTTCATTTGCTTGTGATAGACTTCTCCTACTTTTATTCCTAAATAAATACATGTGGGGTCAAGGCTGCAGTTAGCCTAATCTGTCCTTGTGCAACTACTAATGGTTTTCAACAAATTTTCTGTACCATGGGGATATTTCAGAGCTGACTTCTTACCCTATTCAATTCAAATGCATAAAATTAATCAGCCATGCAATTTATTTTGAACTGGTTTATGTATTTATGTATACAAAGGGCAAATACAATTACAACCTGAAAATGTAATTAGTAAGTTAAAAATAGAGAGTTATCATGCACTCATTAACATAGAAGTGGGAGACTAGCTTCTGACTCCAAAAGGAAAAAAGGTGAAGCCTTAAAGGCACAACTTGACACAAACTGTGCTAAAGACGAGGCCATGACACTTCAACCATATAAGGGGTGGATTCAAATCACACTTTCAATAGCTCTAAAGCTACTGTCAAGAGTTATTAAATATACAACAGCTGTCTGAATAGAACATCCTCTAAGCACTATTGGTTACTGCAATTGTGTTTTATGTTTTTAAAATTTGTGATATCAAGGGCCC